TTCTTCTTCTTGTTGTTGTTGTTGGTGGTGTTGGTGTTGGTGTTGGTGTTGGTGTTGGTGTTGCTGTTGCTGTTGCTGTTGCTGTTGCTGTTGCTGTTGCTGTTGCTGTTGGTGTTGGTGTTGGTGTTTGTGTTGGTGTTTGTGTTGTTGTTGTTGTTAGTATCGTCGTCGTCACTGCTGTTGCTGTTGCTGAAGAAAAGGCAAAGTCAAATGACACGAAAACATAGAAAACAAGAGCATATATGGAGGACACTGCTTGCGATAGATCATACCCCGTCCCCTTCCTTTGATCTTTATGACCTACCTCCTTATCCTCCTCCAAACAAAACGAACTTGATTATCTTCAAAACTTCCCATCTCGCATTCGTGTTTACCATATTCATTTGTCCCTGCGGTTGTTGCTGTTGTTGTTGGTGCTGTTGACCTCCGGGTTTACAAAGGGGCTGGTGCGTTAGAGTTGGCACTAGGGCTGAAAAGCTGGAAACGTGCGCCAAAAGAAACAACTGGGCATAGTATACCTGTTACTGGTGCTACATTATGATCAGAACTCATCCGAATATTCTGTTTGTTGCGAATCTGACGGTCATTGCTTGTCCATGTTTACGGGTGTTCATATTGCTCACTAATGTTTTCATGTACGTAATGTGGCTTATGAAGGGTATGTGTTTGCAATACTTTGAGGATGAGTACTGCTAATTGTACAAAATGCGGGTGTTGTTGTGTTCCTGTTGTTGTTTGCCGCTGTTCTTGGTCGCAGTGCTTCTAAACGGGCTCGGGGTTTGGAGTTGATGTTAGCGTTGGAAGATTGGAAACGTACTCACACCAAAGGAGCGACAAAGACCAACTCAAAGGAATGACAGAGACCAGCTGACACAGAAGCATAGAACATATATATATATGTATATAGCTTCAATTGCAAATATTGCAGACCACACATACAACCAGCAACGCTGGACAACGCTCAATCAACACTTCATAAAAGTAATGATTCACATACGATCACAACACCCCAAATACTATTACTATGTATGACCATAATTACCAGTGTCACTGTTAGATTACATCTTCTACCTGCCCGCTTGCTTGTGATTTGATCGATGATTGCTGTTTCTAACACTCCACTTCAGGTTACACGACAGGCAACGAAGAGGATGCCATATAAGACATTCGACACCTCAAACATGGATGTCATTCCCCAGGACAAGCTTCTGAAAGACATCCAAGAAATTAAGCCGTTTATCACGGTCAGTTCGAAACTTTGTGAATTGAGGTTTGCGCAATGTACCACTTAGCCATGTTCTATCTAGCTAGGCATTTGATGATGTACATATCAAAGGCTGGTTAAATAGACCCGAAAGGCGTCGGGCTCATATATATATATATGTATATACAATTGTTCATCCTGTTCGATTTTGGCAAACACATAACTAACTGTTCAAAATCTATGCATATAGAATTAGGGCTTGTGTCCAAGATCTGGGTGTCAGGGTTTGGAAATTTATTGGGCCAGGGTTCGTAGAAGATTGGCATTTTGATTGCAAAGCAAAGCGCCCTGCTGCTGGGGATTTTTTTGGGTTGAACTTCTCAAAAGCCTGGAGGAGGGAAGCCCCTGGTCAGATTGCTGGCGTTGCAAGCTGAGTCACGAAGATGAGCTGCTGTTGCGTTACAGGCGGAGCTTGATGCTCCAGGTGTTCCCCGGGCGTCGGTGGCTGTGCTTAGCGCATAGCCTTTTGCTCGCAAGCTTCACCGTGCTGGGGTCTGCGGTTCCAGGCGCAATGGTGGGCTTCTCGGCGCCGGTGGGTCTCTCCTGCCAAGACATTGCTGTGTGCAGATCTTTAAGGAGCAGTTCGAATGCATGTAGCAGAGGAGGGATTCTTGAGCGAGTTTTGCTAGCCAATTACAAAAGTGCGTTGTGCACCCACAGCGAGCGGCTTGCCAGTTGCATCTTTCTAGCTTGGCAGGCAGCAATGGACTAATTAGGGGAATCACGCACAGCACGTAGTCCAATTGGCTTTCTTCCAGGTTGATGTGCGCTTGCTCGCTTTCTTAGGTTACTGTTCGTCGCAAGTTCCTCAACTATTGCATGTCGACTTGGTCGGCGGCACGATGCCTGACTTTAAGCCGAACAAGGATCACCACTACATCCGCCTGGAAGACGAGTGGAAAGAAGCGCTGACACTGAAACTCGGTCGAAGGGCAAAGTTTGCCCTTTGTTTTACCCACTTTGAGTCGTCGCAGTAAGCTGTCAAGGTTGTCGCAGGGCCTGGCTCCGCATGCGTTCGGTGTAATTGCAAGCGCTTGCGCGTCCGCCTCGGCTGTCTGGCAAGGCATTCACTGCAAAACAAGCAGCATGGGAGCTTCAAGCTGGATTATGCTCAGCTTCCTGCATGTGTGCTTATGGGGAGTCTTCGTTGTCCCCCGCTTTACCCTCATATTGTGCCATGTACCGTGCAGGAAGCCGTACGAGAAAAAAGGTGGAGGGGGGGGAGGGGGGAGGAAAGGCTGTTCGATTTGCCCTCGGGCCGGCTTCGGAGCCCCCACGGACACGTTGATTTTTGTGTAACCTGCAGTCCATCCTGAGGAATTTCGAAATCGAGCTTGGACAGGCTTCAAGATTTCGCTTCTGCCGGCCCCAAGGCGTGTGTCAAGATTTGGAGCCGCGGCAACACTCTGACCAGGTCCGAGTCCGGTGGTTAATTAGTTCACGTCGCACTTGGTGGATCGATCAACGTACAGTAGGAGCTCGTTCCATCGTCGTTTTTCATATGTCCTCTTGTTCGGGGAGCGAGCTTTGTGTCGGAGCATTGCAGGTCACTCTGAGTGCGAACATCGACCCCGCATCGTTTGGCACGTGCAGCCTAACCCTGTTTGGGATACGTTCGCGCTTGTATCACTTCACCGTGCTGGCCTTGACCGACTTAAAAGCAGAGCTGCAGCCTTTGCAGAAGGAGCCCCTGCTGCACAACAGTCAAGGATGCTCTGATTGGTGTAAGTCTGCACTAGCCAAACCATGTTTTCCAAATCAGCCTTCAGGTCGACCTTGAGGTGTGGGGAACAGGATTTTCAAGTTTAGGTTTCAGAATGTTTCAATTGTTTTCAGAGTTTGGTGCTAGGGGCACACACGACTGGTTCGATGCAACTTGCTGTTGCGACTTCTAAGGCGCATTTTCCGGAGTACCAGGTCCAGCGGCGTGGGTATCACACATACTGCATCAGGTCGGCGAACATGACGGAGCTCGGGTTACAGGTTGCGGTCGTCTTCGACAGTAGTTTCATGAGAATAGAGTCCAAAGCGCAGTCATGCAATCCGAAATCCGGGGAGTGCAGAACTGAAGCAGTTGAGTATTTGCCGGCCCATGGCATAAGCACACGCATGGACCTGTCGGTCTCATCCAATCTCACCTTACTGGTGAAGTTGCTGCCGGAACAGTCCACGGTCCGGGAGAGCCTGACTACCATCTACAGTGTAAGCGTGTCAGTCGTCAACATCGCAGAGGAATTGGAAAAGCTCGGGATGGAAATTTCAAAGCTCCAAGCTCAAACAGACAGTATGCAGGACTTTGATGCAACGGCGTCCAACGAAGATAGCAAGCGGCTGGAGGCAATCATTGAGCAAAGAGATGCCATACTTCGGCAGACATACGATGAGAAGGAGTTTAGTGAGACGGAGTATTCAACAAGGCTGACCCTCCTGGCAGTTGGACTGACCGGCACCGGCAAGTCGGAGCTTTGTCGGTGGATGACGGGCAACATGGATAAATGTACGCCCAGCAGCAGCACCACTTCCAACACAAGCGAAGTGATGCGTGTGCCAAGTCGGCCGTTTGCTGATCCAAAGATGTCCCCACAGATGGAGTGGATCGACACACCTGGCCGTGGAGACACCAGGGGCGATGCCAAAGATGCAGAGCTTTGGAACAACACAATGCAAAATCTCTTGGATCAGGGCGAAGCTGAAATCGACAAGGTAGTTTGGGTGATGAATGCAGCATGGCAACGTGGGACTGCATCCAGAGACAAGATGTTGCAGGAGCTCCGGCGGTCGTTTGGCATCGAGCTGTATCAGCATTTGAGCATAGTGCTGAATTTCCTTCCACACTCCGCGAACAAGAGTCAATATGCTGAAGAACTCCTGTCCCAGAAAGAGAAGTATGCCACTTGGATTATGTCCGTTGAAGATGAGATGTTCAACTGGAGTGCAGAGCGCCGCCTCGGCGTCGAGAGGCAAGTCAGAGGTCTTGATGTTTACGGTGTCAGTACCCATCCAAAATATTATAAGCAGAAGCCAAAGGGTTTGCCGCTGTCCGCGCCCTACCTCAGCAAGTTCCCTCCCTTCTCGCATCCGGCTGGGGTGGAACAACTCTTCAGGCTTTTCAATGCCACCCGCGCGCAGAAGAAGCAGGGAGTTCGCGGCTTGCTCGTGGACAATCCTCACCCGCGGATCGGCCCTGGTATCCTACAACCGTCTTTTGAATCTTCGTGCGACTTGTGCGGCTTCTACGAGCAGGCTGATCAGGTGCTTGTGCAAGGGGTCGTTGGGAAAAGGCTGGGCTTGAGAGGAACTGAGCTGTCCATGGATGATGCCGCCGTCGCTGTACCCGGCTGGGCAGAGTGTGGAGATCCAGATGCAAAAGGATGGCCAGCATCCTGGCAAAAGCACATCTCCAGGCCTCAGAACTTGTCTTCGAACTTTGCCGCTGCGCACGTGGACCTGCTACTGCCCCACGATACCACAGTGGATGCTGCAGCTTCCTTGCACAAGCTTTGCTTCTGCGAGGCGCCGAAGTGCAACCTGCCCTGGCGATTTGGACAAGGTGGCATGCAGATCCCTGCCCTTGGTGACTGCCCATCGCCGTTCCTTGAGATTAGGCCCGCTGACTTTGGTATCGAGGAGAATGGACAAAACAGACATAGTCTTGTGCGGGTTGGATCCAGGCTGATAAGAAGTGGCCCCTCCTTACGCGAGCGGGACAACGAACTCCTAGTTCTCGATACAAACTCGAATCAGATGTGGGGCCTCAAGATCGCAGGAGTCAAACTGGATCTTCGCCATACTATGCAACTTTTTGGGGGCTTCAGAATTTATATTGAGGTGTGTGGCTTAAGCTTGGGATTTGGGCTTGCAGCTGCACCCCAGCACCCGAAACCCTAAATAAAACTCCAAACCACACAGACTGAACCTGTGTCTAAACCTGAAACCCAAACCTCCACTACCCAAGACCTAAGCCTCACACCTGCCACAGCTTCCCAAAACAAACCCTCCTATCAAGAACCTTAGACATGAAACTCCAAGCGCTAAGCCTTATACCATTATACCCTTCAAACCAGTCTTGCTCGCAGCGTGCGCCCTTCCGCACCTTCCAAGGGCCGCAGACAGTCAAAGCACTCACAGACGGCAGCGGTGCTCGGTGACACCGTCTACATGTTGGATTCTGCGGCGGCGCAGGTATTGGTAATTGCAGCCTGGATCGGAATAGCAGTGTTGTGTAGTTTTGCCTCACGTTGCGGATGCAGCTTTGATTCCGCGGCCAGGCTGCCTAGTTTCGTGCACCCTGCAGGATATGAAGTCGAACACCACTCGAAGCATTCGCAACAGCACAATGTTTCCGGCAGATGTGTACGAATGCATCGTCGCACACGGTCAGGACTTGTACCTCTTGGGAGCCGGGGATCAAGTACTCAGCATGAACGTCGTCACAGCGTCGTTTGCCGTGCATCCGCTTCCGCAAGAACGGCCGTTCAGCGAGAAAGCTGGCAGTTGGGGCAAATGGGATCAAGCCATTGTCGTTCAAAACAAGATCTTTGCGATTCGGAGAACTAACAGGGCTTCGTTCATTTTGGTCATGCGCCTGCACAACTCAACCTTCAATGACATTGACGTCGGCGAGTGCCTGGGGAAATCTCCCTGCAAGTTTGGAGTGGCTGCCTTGGATGGGCGGGTATATGTGGGCCCAGCCTACTCAGAGGAGATCCTTGTTGTCGATGCCGACTCCGAAAGCAAGATAGCTTCGATCACCGTCAGGGGCTTCGGCGATCCGAGCCTTTGGAGATGGGCAGGTGCATCCGTTTTGGGCAGAAAGATTGTTTTCGCTCCGCTCTGCTCCGACTGCATCTTGATGCTGGATGTGGATAAGCACGAAACGCAGTGCCTTCGAATTCCCATGATCATACCTTCGAGATGGTCCTTCAGATATGCAGATGCTGTTGGCAGCAGTCTATACCTTCACCCATTTGATGAACCTTTTTTTCTGCGCGTTGACCTAGAAGTTCGCTCAACATGTTCTGTCTGAAACAGCAATGCTGATATAATCATGAATGGAACCTGTCCAGACTGGTCCTTTTCATTTCAGACGTTAGCGTCAGGGGCACATGTCCCCACCACCGTGTGCGCCGCAAGATAATCAATTGTAGCAGAGTCAACAAGTGCGAGGGCGTTCGACTAGGATTCATGTATATTTAATTCGAGCCCCATGAGGCCCCAACCCCCCGAAACCCTCAGGGAACTCCAGCCCTCCATTGGCCAGGTTTTTGTTGTTTAAATATGGTTCATGTAACTCGAGCCCAATGAGGCCCCAACCCCCGCTGCTTGAGCTAGCAGCCGCTGAGCTGAGCCTTTGCTGGCGGCTTTTATCTTTCCGAGGGTGGAATTCTGTGCTGAGTGAGTGGCATCTCTGTTCTTGTTGTCCTGGGCGAGGTGCTTTGTGTCACCTACTGTGAAGGCTTCCAAGCATCCAATTTTTCGCATCCCAGGACCCAAGACATGCGTCTCCCACTGAGCCGTTTCTAGTAAAAGCTGGGGCCAAGTTAGGAGCTTGCAACCTGCGGTGCTCAGTGTCCCAGGCTTTCTGATGTTCGGGCCCGGGGCTAGCTCTGGAGAACTACAGCCTCCCCAACACGGTTTCCTGATCCTCCCCTTCCCCAAAACCTTGGGCAATGTGCTTCGTTTGCTACGGGGATCCGCTGCTGAGCCTGGGTTATCGCGGCAAAGTTCTGCCCCAAAGCGTGGAAAGAGCTGGCGCCGCAGGCGGACTGGCAGAACCAGAGGAAGGCCGACTTCGAGCAGCGCCTCGGAGGTCTGATTTTGGGAGCTGTAGGAGGAGACAGGGTTTTTGGTTTTCTTGAGGGAAGCATTTCGCAACAAGCGAAGCAAGGGGTATTGGGCTCAGTGTATGCCGGCCAAAAGGTGTTTTTCTGAGAATGGAGACAAAGCTCCGGAACTCTTGTCCGCCTTGGCCTGATGCCCACAACTGGAGATTCAAATTTAAAATTCTATATTTATATATTTAATTTTTGGATTTTCTAAAAAAATCGCAATTCATATTTTCGTTCTAAATTTCTTTTAACTTTCAAATCTTATATCGCAAATTTTTTTATTAATATTCTATATTCTCGAAATAATTTTTTTCTATTCGCATTATTTCAAAAAATATTAATTGAAAATTATGATATTACTTAATCGTTTTCATTAATTATCTCATTAATTATCGGCTAATATTCTGCGTTATTGCTGGCGATTGTTATTTCGCGAAATTCTTCCCCACGAGAAAAATACTTTATTTATATGCGAGTCGATAATATCGTTTTCGCTTTTACTTTCACTTACTCTTACGATATATTTCGTAAGTCGTATTTATAAATTCTATTTTGTCGAATTATACGATAATCTGATAAAAGTAAACGAAATATTTTTAAGATATTTTAATGAGATAGGATTTATTATATTTGATATACGTGGTATGAATTTATTATTTAATTTATTTTTCTAATATTGAATATCGATTATTTCTAGTATTTATTAAAATTAATGAAATGATAGTTAGAAAATAAAATATAATTCGTATTACGGAATTAAGAGTAATTATAATGAGGTGGATATAATGAAAGAAGTATATATTTGATATTATATATAAACAAGGGATGTTTTTGTTTCGAATACGTAATTATTTTAAATAGGTTTTTATCGGGTAGATTTATAATATATCGGTCTTTATAAGTTGAATATATTTTAAAGATTAAATAACGATTGATTTATTGAAAATTTGATATAAATTGGAAATATTGGTGATATTACCTCGCACCATTTCTTATTTTTCGGATAATTGAGTTGGCTCTCTTGTGTTGAAATGACAAAGGGAACTTTTGAATATGGCGTCTAAGTTAGGAGCTATTATTTGTTTATTTATAACACCCTAGATTTTATTGTTTCTGATATTATTGATCGTAGCCTTAATACGTGTCGGCGGGACATTATCGTAATTTAAATGTTCCGAGCGGAGTTGGTTAATTGACACGAGATTTCTGAAACTTATAATTAGACCCTTGGCAATTTTCTAATTGAGAGGGAGCGCTATTAGTCTATATTACAAATGATTCGTAATGCTTCCCCGGAGATATTAATGATAACTGTTGTGTCCTCCGAGCTACTATGCATTGGCCGCGGCGGGCGGCTAGCGGTGGTGCCGAAGGACTGGAGCATCGACGAAAGAACCGGGTGGTATGGAAAATGATAGCTATAGACTAGCGATTTTATTCTTGTGCCTGTTCTCGTCGATCTCTCACAAATCGATGAAAATGTGGAATTATTCCCTTCCCTAGGATACAAGGGTTTCTTGAGTAACTTCTATGGCATAAGATATCTTACTAGGCTGTAGCATGGCTTGCTCTCAACGAGTGACTCACCTATCCTAATTTTCAGGAATGCCCGATTATTAGCCTACATCTATTTTCAGCTCTAAACCAGCACATTAAGGGCACTTCTTATATCTCGGTTCCAAAATCTATTTGCCAACAGAGGCTGCCCATTTTGGCACGTTGTCGAGATTTGTCGCCAAGCCCCTGTAGACCTATGGGGTCGAGGATAGCGCTTCACAAAAGCAAATCGGCAAATTCCCAGGCAGCTCCATTTGCGCCTCCAATCTTTTTCTTAAAATAGCACATATAATGACTCTGATCAATCCCTAGCCCCTATGAAAGAGGCACAAGGAGCTGATCGAGGAGCTATGGAGCAAAAATATTAATAGGGACGAGCAGAAGCTTGTAGCCAATACAAATATAGGGTTATTAGAGAAGACATGGAGCAAGGATTAGAAAAGCGTTATTTAAAAAAACCTCAAGATTACTTCGTTTGAATATTTATCTGATATGAATTTTAATCCTAGAATCTTCGAATATATTTTCTGAAATTTTAATTTTCGTAAAAAGTTTCTTAAATATAATTCATTATTATTTTTTACTAGAGACGATAATTCGACTCTTACAAATAGGCATATAATCTTTTTATCTTTTATTATAAAGAATAATTCGATTAGTACACTAGAATAAAGTATAAGTATATAACATCATGATATTTATAGAATGAATAAATATTAGATTTTCAAATTTGTAATATTATGAATTTATCTATATTGAATTTCTTCTTATTTTATCTGAATATTTAAATTTCTAAAAATTAAATTCTTTATATATAAATTCATTAGC